TCGGGGCTGCAAGATGGCACAAAGCTGAGCTACCTGCTCGTTCCTGCCGTCCTATCGCAATCATATCATAGGACATTAAAGGCACGGTGGTTTTAAAAGTTGAAGGGAAATTTCTACCCCCGATGTCATACCCAGAATGAAACTTACATAAAAGGTCAACAAAAAAAAACACCACCGCATCTCGGCAGCCATCTTATTAGGGAGCTAGATCACTGGAGGGTCTCCTCCGGGGCCCCAAGAAAGCTTATGGTGAATGTTCACAACAAGGTAAACACCGCCTCCTGGCAGCCATCTTATTAGGAAGTTGTAGTTACTAGGATGCTAGATCACTGGAGGTTCTACTCCGGGGCCCCAAGAAAGCTTATAGTGAAAGTAACCACCTCCTCCCAGCATCCATCTTATTAGGAAGTTGTAGTTACTGACAAGCTAGATCACTGGAGGTTCTCCTCCGGGGCCCCAGGAAAGGCTATGGTGAATGTTCACAGCAAGGTAAAACGCCACTTCCTGTCAGCCATCTTATTAGGAATCTAGATCACTGGGAGGTTCTCCTCCGGGGGCCCCAGGAAAGCTTATGGTGAATGTTCACAACAAAGTAACCACCGCCTCCCAGCATCCATCTTATTAGGAAGTTGTAGTTACTAGGATGCTAGATCACTGGAGGTTCTACTCCGGGGCCCCAAGAAAGCTTATAGTGAAAGTAACCACCTCCTCCCAGCATCCATCTTATTAGGAAGTTGTAGTTACTGACAAGCTAGATCACTGGAGGTTCTCCTCCGGGGCCCCAGGAAAGCTTATGGTGAATGTTCACAACAAAGTAACCACCGCCTCCTGGCAGCCATCTTATTAGGAAGTTGTAGTTAATAGGATGCTAGATCACTGGAGGTTCTACTCCGGGGCCCCAAGAAAGCTTATAGTGAATGTTTACAACAAAATAAACCCGACTTCCCGTCAGCCATCTTGTAGCTACTAGAAGCTAGATTACTTGAGAGGTTCTTCTGGGGCCCAAGAGAGTCGATAGTGAAGGTTTACAAAATAAAACCCACTTCCTGTCAGCCATCTTATTAGGAAGTTGTAGTTACTAGGAAGCTAGACGACTGGAGGTTCCCCTCTGCGGAAGAAAGCTTATAGTGAATGTTTACACAATAAACACCACTTCCTGTCTATTAGGAAGCTAGATCACTGGAGGTTCTCCTCCTCGGGCCCAAGAAAGCAAATGGTGAATGTTCACAAAAGTTAACGTCACTTCCTGGCAGCCATCTTATTAGGAAGCTGGGTCACTGGAGCTTCTCCTCCGGGGCCCCAAGAAAGCTTATAGAAAACCCCACTTCCCAGTATCCATCCCATTACGAAGCTGTAGTTAATAGAAGCTAGATCACTGGAGGTTCTTCTCTGGGGCCCCAAGAAAGCCGATGGTGAATGTTTACAACAAGGTAAACCCCTCTTCCTGGCAGCCATCTTATTAGGAAGCTGGGTCACTGGAGCTTCTCCTCCGGGGCCCCAAGAGAGCTTATAAGAGAACCCCATTTCCCAGCATACATCCCATTACAAAGCTGTACTTAATAGAAGCTAGATCACTGGAGGGTCTCCTCCGCAGCCAAAGAAAGCTTATGGTGAATGTTTACAACAACAACCACCTCTCAGGCGGCCATCTTGACAATTATCAGGAAGTGATGATATCTCAGTGTATCGCAACGGAAAACCTTTGCATAGCATGGTTAGCATGGTCCCTAGGGAGATTTGCCCTACGTTTACCCCAGTGACCACAGTCATTGAGACAAGGAGAAATCTTCCAATGGGGACACTTGTTCAGGCGAAGAGATTTTCTCTCACTTCCTGTTTAGAGTACGTAGAGTGTGCAGAGGACAGGAAGTAAAGAGGGGCAGGGTTTTACTCATTCCCTGACCTACCCAAACTTTTAGCTTTAGATACTCTCCGGAGTATCGGGAAGAAATTGCGCACACATGCACTGGGTGGTGAACAGACCCAATCCGGATGGTTTTAGGGAACTCCAGAAGCTAAAAACTGACCACCGAAGACAGAGACGTTACTTACTACAGGCGGGCGGATTTTACATATCCCAGACTTCTCCGCGATCGGTCTGATCCTGGCTATATAGCCCAGAGGGTCGGCAAATTCCTCCCAAGTAGGCTCAAAAACGGGGCACTCCTGGGGCGGTATGAACTCCTCGGTCTCCATCATGTTGTGGCGCTGACTGCAAGCTTAGGCGTGTTCAGTCCAAGAGCGGCGTGGACGTGTATCACATAATCGGCTTATAAATCCCCCCCAAAAAAATGTCCTCCGTCACCGCGATCGAGCTGGACGCCTCAGAACTCCGTCCTCTCCAGATGTGACGGCTGCTCGCAGGGAAGGTTCTTCCTGTCCAACAAAGTGAGGGAGAGAAAAACATATATAAGCAAGAGAGGTCGTTTCCTCCAATTCAGCAGACGACTTCCACCTACCGCTGTGCTATT